CTTTTTAGTTCCTTTTCTTCAAGTTCAGTAGCCAGTTCTGTATAGATGTTTTATTTAGCGATCATTTTTTCCTTATACTTACTTGTTTAAATTTTTAATAAAATGACGTACCTGGTTATTAGATTATATATAGTGTTCTAAAGCTTTATAAATTTTGCATAGAATAATAATAAAATAGGCAGTCAAAGTTCGTGAAGACTGGTATGCAATATCAAGTGATGATAAAATTATAGATACTGCTAGAACTAGGTAGGCGCTAAGCATGATGAATGAAAATAAGAAATCTCGGTTTTGGTTATTCACCGGTTTTCGGCTTTAGGGTGCTCTGGATAACTGAAAAGCGGCATACACACCGGAGGTAGAACGACTATGCTAAATATCTAGCTTCTGATGACCTGTAGAGAAGAAAATCCAGATTACCTTTGTATTGCTTTCATACAGGCGCCCATGCCATCCCTACATAGAGCGTGTTAGCACACTCTCAGATATGTGTATACAACTAGAGTAAAGGAGTCTTCGTTCGTAACTTTACGAAAAAACATTTTGTTCTTAGTACAGCATGTTGCTGTAATTTCATTTCCATTTTTTGTGTGTGTTCTATTCTAAGTATATAGAGATGATGCATTATTCTTATAAAGAATTGTTTGTTCCTTATTAGGCATAGAATATATGCATTTTTAAAGTTGCTTAACTACATGAATATTTATTACACCAGAATGTTTAAACTATAGAGTATACGTTTTCCCATTAACCTTCTTTATGAAGTTTTCCCATATTCCTTAGATGTTTACGTATTGTTTCACGAGAGACATGCAATGTCAGGGCCATTTCACGAGTGTTGCCTTGGGTTAGACTCAACAAGAGTTTTCAGAACATCAATGTCAATTCCAAAATGTCGGCCCCTGCCATCACAGTTTTTAAGGCTAAAGTTACCTGAACGAAATTTGCTGAACCATTGTTGACACTTACGAACATTCAAAACATTTCCATAAACTTCTTTGATATTCTTTGTGGCTACAGAGGCATTGTTTCCCTACTTGTATTCAAACAGCATTACATGCCAAATGTATATCTCGTCGTGTGCCATCACTATAAGGGATTAGAGTATATTAAAGTTTACACATTATATAAGCTACACTAATGTGACGTTCAGGCAATTCATTCAACTATTATACACAGTAGCGTA